AGATAATCAGCATTTTATGTTTTTTTTTTCTTTTTTTTTGAGATGGAGTCTTGCTCTGTTGCACAGGCTGGAGTGCAGTGGTGTGATCTTGGCTTATTGCAACCTCCGCCTCTCAAGTGATTCTCCTGCCTCAGCCTCTCGAGTAACTGGGACTACAGGCATGCACCTGGCTAAGTTTTGTATTTTTTTTTTTTTTTTTTTGAGACGGAGTCTCGCTCTGTCACCCAGGCTGGAGTGCAGTGGTGGGATCTCGGCTCACTGCAACCTCCATCTCCTGGGTTCAAGCAGTTCTCCTGCCTCAGCCTCTTGAGTAGCTGGGACTACAGGCACCTGCCACCACGCCTGGCTAGTTTTTTGTATTTTTTAGTAGAGACGGGTTTTCACCATGTTAGCCAGAATGGTCTCGATCTCCTGACCTCGTGATCCGCCCGTCTCGGCCTCCCAAAGTGCTGGGATTACAGGCTTGAGCCACCGCGCCCGGCCAAGTTTTGTGTTTTTAGTTGAGATGTGTTTCGCCATGTTGGCCAGGCTGGTCTCAAACTCCTGACCTCAGGTGATACATCTGCCTCAGCCTCCCAAAGTGCTGGGATTACAGGTGTGAGCCACCGCATCTGACTGCAGTATTGTATCTTCTAAGATACTTTGAAAACACTGAATTCAATAGAAACTCAGTATTTGTTGAATTATCTATGGAGTAGCAACCTTTAAAAATGCATATCTTTTTCTCTGCTATGTGTTATTTAGAATATAAGGTTTATAAATAATCACTTCATTAACATGCTCTTTCCTGTCCTTCTCAGCCAAACTTGTTTCTTTTTCTTCCTTTCTCCTTTTCCTTTTCCCTTTCCCTTTCCTTTCCTTTCTCCTTTGTTTCCCCTTTCCCCTTTCCTTTCCTTTCCTCTCTTTTTCTTTTTATTTTTCTTTTTTGGAGACAGGGTCTTGTTCTGTCACTGAGCCTGGAGTACAGTGGAACAATCTCGGCTTAATCTCAACCTCCCAGGCTCAAGCAATTGTCCCACCTCAGCCTCCCAAGTAGCTGGGACTACAGGCACACACCACCACGCTTGACACCACACCCAGCTAATTTTGTATTTTTGGTAGAGGTAGGATTTCACCATGTTGCCCAGGCTGGTCCTGGGCTTAAAGGGATCTGCCCACCTTGGCCTCCCAAAGTGCTGGGATTATAAGCCTGAGCCACTGCACCCAGCCATTCCTTTGAAATTCTTAGAGCAGTTTATAAGATTCTCTATCTTAGTTTTCTAAGTTTGCCCTTTGTGATCTAATTTTGTTTACCCATTAAATGGTAATGTTATTTAGGGTTCTGTCTTTGGTTCTCTTCTCTTGATCATGCTGAAAACTTTCCCTGGGTGATCCCATTTTTGTTCCTTGGCCTTGACCATTGTGTTCATATCAAGAGTTGTAAATAAAATACTTACGGGGCCACGTAGGTAACATAAATGAGTGACATGGTCAGGGATGATGGAGATGCTGGATTAAAGTCTCCATGCCCTGTTCAGAGCTCTGGTCATATTGCTGCTCTTTTATAATATAGTATCCAGTGTTGGCAAATCTTCAGTTTTTCAAGAGATATTAGACATCTAGAATTCTTAATGGGAAATTTCTTATTTGTATAATAATTATGAGCAACTGGTTAAAATTTCAACCATAGTGCAGACCAATAGTAAGTATTTTTAGTTTGCAAGTTTACTTACTGTAACTTACCATGCTTCTCACTCCTAGATTTTATTTGTCTTCAGATCTGAATTTTCTGCTGGGTTTTAGGCTTATCCCATTGTGTGCTATATATAGGAGTTCTGTCAGCCACAGGCATCTCAAAGACCGTGACCCTGAACTTCTAATTTGTATTAGGAAGTGATTTCATTTATAGGACACCTGTGAGTTTGAATCAATATTTCACCACCTACTAGCTCACCAAGCAAGTTACTTTATTTCTTTAAACTTCTGTTTGCTCATATGTGAAATGGGAGTAATATTTACTTCATTGAGTTCTTATGCTAGCACAGTTACTTGCGTACAGTAACCAAACACTGCTTTCAGTTGCTGTTCCTGTTTCAGTGAATGGTATCACTACATGCACTTACTGCTGCTTAAGAGTCATTGGTGACTCTACCCATATTTTTATTTTTCAGGTCTAATTAGTCACCAAGTTCTATTAGTCTAATAGAATTTTCAGGTCTAAGTAGTCACCAAGTCCTTAGAATTTATCCTGCTCTCTACTGCATGTTTCTTCCCCAAACCGTCCTTTACCTGTGTTCTGCAGTGCCTTTAGAAATTAGCTTGAGAGGCCAGGTGTGGTGGCTCAAACCTGTAATCCCAGCACTTTGGGAGGCCAAGACGGGCAGATCACTTGAGGTCAGGAGTTTGAGACCAGCCTGGCCAACATGGTGAAACCCCATCTCTAGTAAAAATACAAAAATTAGCTGAGGGTGATGGCACGTGCATGTAATCCCAGCTACTAGGGAGGCTGAGGCAGGAGAATCACTTGAACCTGCGGGTGGAGGTTACAGTGAGCCGAGATTGCACCACTGCACACCAGCCTGGGCAATAGAGTGAGACTTCACCTCAAAAAAGAAACTAGCTTGAGGCTGGGCATGGTGGCTCATGCGTGTAATGTCAGCACTTTGGGAGGTTCAAGTGGGAGGACCACTTGAGCTCAGGAGTTTGAAATCAGCTTGTCAGCATAGTGAGACCCCATCTGTTACTGCCCCGACTACGCCCACAAAAAAAAAAAAAAAAAAAAAAAACAAAAACAAAGCAAAACAAAAAAAAACAAAAAAAAAAAAAAGCCAGGTGTAGTGGTGTTCGCCTGTGGTCCCAGCTACTTGGGAGGCTGAGGCAGGAGGTTCGCTTGGCTCAGGAGGTCAAGGCTGCAGTGAGCTATGATTGCACCACTGCACTCCAGTATAGATGACAGAGTAAGACTGTCTCAGAAAACAAACAAAAGATAGAAAAGAAATTAGCCTGAAAAGCAACAACAACTCTTCCAGTACGTTTTTTGGCTCACCACTTTTCTCACTCCAGGTCTGAATTAGATACCTCTTTTTCTGTGCTCCTAGCCCCCTGAGGATGTCTCTGTTGTAGTGTTCTTCACAACTGTTTGTAATGCCTTTTTTTTCTACGCAACTTCTTGAAGGCAAAGACTACCTATCTTGAATGCCTTTTTATCTCCAGGGCTTAGAATAATGCCTGGCAAATAATGAGTTCAATGATGTTTGGAGTATGAATGCATTGGCTAAATGAATATATTTTTTCTGGAGAAACTGTAGATATAAAAAAGATCTCGAAGCCTTAATTATAGCTCTAAGGCCTTTTAAAATATCCCGATTGTTTTGTTTTCCCGGTTTGAATAAGATTGTAGGTGCTTTAATTTATTATATGTCAGTAACGTTATTTATTTATTTATTTATTTATTTATTTATTTATGACAGAGTCTTGCTCTATTGCCAAGTCTGGAGTGCAGTGGTGCAATCACAGCATGACTCACTACAGCCTCGAACTTCCAGGCTCAGGTGATCCTCACACCTCAGTCCCCATGGTAGCTGGGACTACAGGCGTGTGCCACCATGCCTGGTTAATTTTTATTTTTTGTAGAGACAATATCTCCCTTTGTTGTCCGGGCTATGTTGATGTTCTTTAGAACAAAGTAAATTGTGTTGTTGATATAAATTACTGATTATTGTTGCCCTCTAGGGCTACAATTGGTAATTTTTATTTATTTATATGTTTTTTTCTACAGCCCACTTAGGTTCATTCTTTCCTTCTGTTTCTGTACCTGAGTCTCAGGCTCTTCTTCCCTCTTGGCCTCCCAGGAGCTCTGGTTTATAGCAAGTTTTCTTGGCCGCCACACTATTAACACTATGGGCCAGTTATTTCTTATAGAGGTTGTCCTGTGCATTGTAAAATGTCTAGTAGCATCCCTGGTCTATACCCATTGGATGCCAGTAGCACCCTCCAGGCTTGATAACTAAAAATGTCTCCAGGTATTGTGAAATGTCCTACAAAATCACCCCTTGTTGAAAACAGCTGGTTTATAGATATTCCCATTTCTTTATCCTGAAAGCCTCTCCTTGTCTATGCTGAGCATGATTTTCTGTTTTTTTAAAAATCAGCACTTCTAAAAAAATTAACTTGTTTCCTATTAACTTATGCTCATCCTCCCCTCCCCCGGCCCCCCCCAATCCTCTTTTCTAGAATGAGTAGCTTCCATTTCCCACCTTATTTCTGGCTTTTATCCCCATGGTTCCTCTCAAAGTGATTTCATCAAGTCTCCCATGATTTTCACCTCTTATGTTCTCTGGAGTAAATGGAGCTGCCAACTCATAGCCCAGTTCATCATGTCTTAATCCTTCCTCCTCTCCTATCCCTGCAGCTGCCCCATACAGTCAGTCACAAAGTCCTATCTGTGTTATCTCTGGAATGTCTCTAGAATCTACCAACATTCTTTATTCCCACGCCTGTCTCCCACCAATGTCATCAGCTCCTCTGTTGGTTTCTGAATTTCAAGTTGGGCCTATTCCATTTTAATTTATACCCTGTCACCTTTCTAGAACAAGGTCTCTTCCTACTTCAGACTTTCTCAGTCATGATTTCTGGGGTCTTAGTATTTGCCTTTTGGAAGGCCCATTAGGTGATTTTTATGGAACTCTAATTGCTTCATTCCTCTACTTAAGAAATGTTTTCTTGCTCTTAGAAACTCCTAAAATCCATTATATATTTTTTACAAAGCTCTTCCTGCTATCCCCTGCTTTTAACAAAAGCCTTTTTGCTAAATAAAAATGGTGTAGGTTCTTTTAGAGAACCGCTTCATGAAAAGTCAGTGTTTATTTGTTTAGTACTAGCACAATATTTTTTAAATACCAACAATAAAATTTATAATTGGAGGAGGGATCCAGGAGGAAATGCAAGTTTACTGATTATGTGTGTCTGTAACAAATTTGACTGCTAAGTTATATTTAAATAAAATTTGGTTTTTTTTGCAGGTATTTATAACAGCAATGATGTAGCAGTATCATTTCCAAATGTAGTATCTGGCTCGGGATCTAGTACTCCTGTCTCCAGCTCTCACTTACCTCAGCAGTCTTCTGGGCATTTGCAACAAGTAGGAGCACTCTCTCCCTCAGCGGTGTCATCTGCAGCCCCTGCTGTTGCTACAACTCAGGTAAGTTGTTACACTATGATGTGAGAGGTAGTAGGTGGGTTTCTCATTTTTAAAGTGAGTTTCATTAGAGGACAAACAAATGAAATAGGGCCTTCTACAGGAATTTATGAAATATCTCAATTTGTAGTAATGTGTTAGTGAAAATGATACGTATTTTTACATGGTATTCATGAGAGAGGATGGATGAATGTATGGGCACCAACTAATTCTTCTTAATTTCTGGGTTTTAAATTTTGTCCGAATGATATAAAATATAATTTCAGAGGAGCTTTTATTTTTTCTTTAAAAAAGTAGGATCCACAAAATATGAGCCAGTTTTGGACTCTTGTGATTTTTAAAATTCCTTTTATAATTTTTAAAATTACACAAATAATACATGAAATCTTTTTAAAGTTTTAAAAAAAACCAGGGTAGGAGAATATAGGTTAAAAGACTGAATGATCGCTTCAAGCACTAGACATTTTTCCTCCTAGTGGGAGAGAACAGTGTTTGTAAATATTGTAAATAATGATGAATATACAGGTTTTTCCATTTGTGTACCCCTTTTATCTGACTTTAGATTTGTAGTTTGATAGGTGGCCTAGTCTATAGGATGTTTTTGGGGACGGAGTCTCACTCTTGTCACCCAGGCTGGAGTGCAGTGGCGTGACCTTGGCTCACTGCACCTCCGCCTCCTGGTTTCAAGTGCTTCTCCTGCCCCAGCCTCCTGACCAGCTGAGATTACAGTCGCATGCCACCTTGCCTAGGTGATTTTTGTATTTTTAGTAGAGGTGAGGTTTCGCCATGTTGGCCAGGTTGGTCTTCAACCCCTGACCTCAGGTAATCTGCCTGCCTCGGCCTCCCAAAGTGTTAGGATTACAGGTGTGAGCCACCGCGCCTGGCCAAGATGTTTTAAAAGTAAGAGTCAAATAAAAGAAATTGTAATCCTGTTTTATAAACAGGACAGTGCAGGCGGAAAGCTGTACCCAACCCACCTGCATTACACCCCCCTTCCCCAGAGATAATCATTTAAGATTTCCAAAATATATATTTTTATTTATTTGGAATTATGTATAATTTTATTTTCATTTCTCCAAAGCTCTAGTAGTCTTTTAATGGTCAAGAAAATGATCACAGGGACAAATGTCTAATAATGAACAACTAGTTAAAATAGTTGTTTATAAGTTCCTGTCAACTTAAGCTTTATGGATGTGTGCATAATTTCCATTGCGTGTGTCGTTAGGATACATATGCTTTTCCAGCAAGCACAGCATTAGGTTATTTTGATGCATTTGTGTGAATGGCACAGTGCAAACAGTTGCTATTAAAATTACATATTAGAATCAACCCCAGACAGTTCAGCACAGAAAATCAATGGCATGATTTTAGTAGTATCATCTTTGAAGTTGAAAGTGAACTATTTGGTGAACCTCCCAAACTGAGTTAAAGGAGTTTGACTACTTTAGCAGAGTTTTTCTGTGGTTCATTTCACTAAAAGTGAGGTAGCCATAACAGGGGTTTGGGGTTAGAGAGGGTGAAAGGATAAATGAAAGAATGGCTCTTATAAATGGTTTTATCTCTTTTAATTAAGTGTAACCATATGCTGTTGATAGTTTTATATCCTTGGACAAAGTCTCACATGAACATTTTCAATGTGCTTTTTTCTTTTCTGTCTTTATAAAAGTCTGTTTAATTATTCTCTGGTTAATTCCCAGCTGAATTAAGCAAAAATCCTCATTTCTTCTCATTCATTATGTTTGTGAGCCAGGGGGTTGGCATTAGGGAAGTGGTAGTGAAGAGAAATTTATAGCTAGAGGCAAAATTCCACTTAACATGTGACTCATCTGAAGAACAAAGAAATCATAGTTGTAAGTAACCCAGGATTCAGTTCAATTAAAATCCCCTCTCCAGTTTTCAGAAAGATGGGTCTCTTACAAATGTGATCATCCAGTTAGATTTACATGCTGTGTACTGAGATACCTGCATCTGTGTTTCTGTTCAGCAGTAAATGCTTTCTGTCTTCAAGCTGAAGCTTATTTAGCCTGGCTTATCTGGTGCTGCTGTAGCAACCATCAGTCTCCAGGCAACTGAGGCACGTTGACCTCTCAGTTGAAGTGAGTGCTGAACTACTTCAATTTAGCTGCCTGAGACAATAATAATGGTGTCGAATGTGAAAAATGTGAAATTTTCTAGGCAATGTGCAAAAGAAAGGATACAGAAATATTTAAATAAAATTGATAGGACTCTTAAAATTGATAGGACACTTAGCAGTTGAATCTTTTTTTTCAAAATGATAAAGTTTATTCCTGTGTCACTCTCATGTAGACCCTGTTTGTTTTCAAGTCATACATTAATTGTATTTAGATAGTCACATCGTAGTGTTTTATTTAGGGTTGCTCTAAGTAGTTGATTTGAGAGCAATGCAATAAGATAAATGGGTGAATAAAAATTATCAATATTTAAAATGTAATTCTAGGCCAGGCATGGTGGCTCATGCCTGTAATCCCAGCACTTTGGGCAGGTCACGGTGGGTGGGTCGCTTGAGGTCAGGAGTTTGAGACCAGCCCGGCCAACATGGCGAAACTCTGTCTCTACTAAAAAAAAATTAGCCGGGTATAGTGGTTCACACCTGTAGTTCCAGCTACTTGGGAGGCTGAGGCAGGAGAATCGCTCGAACGCGGGAAGCGGAGGTTGCAGTGAGCCAAGATTGCGCCACTGCACTCCAGCTTGGACCAACCAACAGAGCCAGACTCTTGTCTCCCCCCCCCCCAAAAAAAAGGAATCCTAGAAGTCTTACCACAACTATTAAGAAAACCATCACACTTGCAAGCAAAAACTTTAATAATATTGATAGATAATGGAAATATTAAACTTGAATACCGTTTTGTGCCCCCATGCCCTTAATGAAAGTAGTTTTTATTGATTGGATTGGTGCCAGCAGGATAAAATCCAGAGGTCATTTTTGCTTTTTGTGATACACATTTTAAGTAAACAGACCTCTACATTGGCTTATTTGGTATCTTAAGAATTGTTCCCTGGAAAGTGGTAAAGGAGCTAAGATTGGGAAGGGCTAGTAGAAGTTAAAAACTTAGAATAAGTTGATTTATGATTTTAATTGGGGGGAAAAGGAGACACTTGTAAAATTGGGGGTGGGGGGGAGTCTGATAGCACAAATTTTGGGGGAAAAAACTTTAAAAAACTGTTTGATAAACCTATTTTATATTCTTCTTCTTCTTCTTTTTTTTTTTTTGAGATGGAGTCTTGCTCTGTCACCCAGTCTGGAGTGCAGTGGTGCGATCTTGGCTCACTGCAACCTCTGCCTCCCGAGTAGCTGGGACTACTGGCACCCACCACCACGCCTGGCTAATTTTTGTATTTTTGATAGAGATGGAGTTTCACCATGTTGGTCAGGCTGGTCTCGAACTCCTGACTTCAGGTGATCCACCCACCACGGCCTCCCAAAGTGCTGGGCTTACAGGTGTGGACCACCGCGCCTGGCCTCTATTTTATATTCTTAAGTGTTTAACCACCCCCCCCACCCCCCGCCTTTTTTTTTCCTTTCAACAGACTTGTTTTTAGAGTAATGGTTCTTTCACAAATAATTGATAGGAAGCCTGCTTTACTACATACTAGTGTATCAGTAATAGAGTAGTTTCTTAACATTGCGGAAAGAGTGGACTCCTGTCCATGTGACTGTTAATAATGTGCTCTGCCCTTGTTGGATCAGGAGTAGAGGTATAAATTCGTTTTTGTAGGAGTGTCATTAATTTTTCATTTCGCCTTTCAAATCCCACTGTTTCATAGTTCTACAGTCATTCTGTTCTGTCTTTGGGAGAATGCAGGTGCTTTTTTTTGTTTGATGGATGATTTCTTTAGTAGAAGAACTTAAGACTGAATGCAGTGAAATGTAATTGCATTCTGTTACATCCTACTTTCTGAGTTTTGCTTTTGAAATACAATCTTCATGTGATAATCATGGCTTCTTGTCCTATCCCGTGTTACTGTTAAACAAAATGATGTAGACTTAAACATCATTTAAAGTAAAGTAAACTTCCAAGGTTTATTTATGTGATATTTAGTAAATGCAGATATTTCGTGTTTCTTTTGTTGTTGTTGTTTTGTTTGTTTGTTTTGAGACGGGGTCTCACTCAGTTGCCCAGGCTAGAGTGTAATGGCATGATCTTGGCTCACTGCAAACTCTGCCCCTGCCGGGTTCAAGTGATTCTCCTGCCTCAGCCTCCTGAGTACCTGGGACTACACGTGTGCACCACTACGCCTGCCTAATTTTTGTATTTTTGGTAGAGATGGGGTTTCACCATGTTGGCCAGGCTGGTCTCAAACTCCTGACCTTGTGATCTGCCCACCTCGGCTTCCCAAGGTGCTGGGATTGCAGGTGTGAGCCACCTCGCCTGGGCATATCTTGATATTTTAAAGATATAATTGCCCAGGCACGGTGGCTCGCGCCTGTAATCCCAGCACTTTGGGAGGCCGAGGTGGACGGATCACCTGAGGTCAGGAGTTTGAGACCAGCCTAACCAACATGGGGAAACCCCATTTCTACTAAAACTACAAAAAAAAAAAAAATCTATATCTATATCTATCTATCTATATATATATATATATATATTAGCCAGGTGTGGTGGCGCATGCCTGTGATGCCAGCTACATCCCAGCTACTCGGGAGGCTGAGGAGGTTGCGGTGAGCTGAGATCGCGCCTTTGCAGTCCAGCCTGGGCAACAAGAACCAAACTCCATCTCAAAAAAAGAAAAAAACAAAAAGATACAATTATTGACTAGAGTTTTGCAGATTTCTGTGACACTTTCATCTCAATTAGCTTTGGATATTTTGTTTTCCAATATTATTATGTATGTGTGTGTTTATGTAGGGGAAGTTGTCTTAGATGTAGTCTCCGATTTCTTTTCAGATGATGTCTAATAAGGACCTTAAATTCTACTTGAGAAAATGGTTTAGTTTCTTAGGCAGATTCAGCTGACTTTTGGGGTGACATTTGTGTTTATAC